CTCGGCCTTGGCCCGCAAGGCCTATGCCAGGCAGTTGAACATCCAAGGGCCTACCCCCAAGAAGCCCAAGCAACAAGAGGCCCTCTCCTTTACGGATGAGAACCTAAAAGGGGTGGCAGTCCCCTATGATGACACTTTGGTGGTCTCGATCATCATTGCAAATTTCGTAGTAAAGAGGATCCTCATTGACAGTAGGTCCTCAACTGATATCCTCTTCTACAAAGCTTTTGAAAAGATGAAGATAGCACCTGAGCCTTCAGCTAGCCAATGTTCCACTGGTTAGCTTCTCCGGCAATGTTGTTAGGTCGGAGGGAAAGATTACCCTACCCGTCACGATAGGAACTGAGCATCGACAAGTGACGTGAATGAAAGAGTTCATAGTTGTGAGGATTGGCTCACCCTACAGTGCACTCATGGGGAGGCCGACCCTTCATGGACTTTGGACAACCATCTCCTCATATCACCTCCCCCTCAAGTTCCCCATCGGACATGGCATTGGAATCATTCGTGGGGACCAGCACACTACCCATTAGTGCTATGTGGCAGTAGTGGAGGGCAAGGATAAAGAAGCACTACAACTGGAGGGCCTCGACCTCAGGGAGGAGCTAGCAAGACGAGGACCTCGTCTCAGTCCCCCTAGACGAGGACGAGCCTAAAAAAGCTGTTTGCATTGGATTAGCCTTCCCCCGGAGAGCCTATTTGAACTGGTAAGTTTCCTCAGACTTAACGCCAACATCTTTGCTTGGTCCACTGTTGATATGCCCATAATTGACCCTTTGATCATCACTCATAGGCTGAGCATGAACCCGAGCTCTAGGCCAGTTCGATAGAAGAAGAGGAATTTTGAACCGGAGCATTGGAAAGCCATAAAGGATGAAGTTGGAAAGCTACTCGACGCTGGCTTCATCCGAGAGGTACACTACTTTGACTGGTTGTCAAACGTGGTTATGGTAAAGAAAGTTAACAGGAAATGACAGATTTGTATTGATTTCACAAACCTTAACCGAGCCTGCCCCAAGGACAGTTTTCCTTTGCCGAGGATAGGCCACCTTGTTGGCGCCATTACAGGGTACAAACTATTTAGTTTCATGGATGCCTTCTTCGGATACAACCAGATAAAAATGCACCCAATAATGAGGAGAAGACCTCGTTCATCACTAGCATGACACTTATTGCTATTGAGTGATGCCCTTCAGCCTCAAAAATGTCGAGGCCACCTACCAACGCATCGTTAATAAGGTGTTTAAAGATTAGATGGGGAGGAACGTCAAAGCCTACGTGGATGACATGGTAGTAAAAAGCCTAAAAGCCGAAGCGCACACCTCAAACCTGGCCGAGACCTTCGACACGTTGCAGAAATCTAATATGAAGCTCATTCCCAGTAAGTGTGCCTTTAGCGTCACATCAGGCAAGTTCTTGGGCTTCATCGTCACTCAAAGAGGGATTGAGGCTAACCCTATGAAGATACAAGCCATACGAGATATGGCACTCCCTCGGTCAGTGAAGGAGACTCAAAGGCTCACCGGCCGAATAGCAACCCTCAATTGCTTCATGTCGAAGTCAGACGACCGATGCCTACCCTTTTTCCGCACCATCAAGAAGTTGAAAAATTTTTAATGGATGGAGGAATGACAACACGCCTTCGACAAGCTCAAGACATACCTCACCTCACCTCCCATCCTTGCCCGGCCAGTCGCAGGAGAAACCGTGTACCTATACCTCTCGACTGGAGACGAGATAGTCAGCTTAGTCCTGATCAAGGAAGATGGCATATAGAAGCCAATTTACTACATTAGCAATGTCCTCTGTGATGCTGAATTCAGGTATCCCAAGATAGAAAAACTGGCCTTCGCCCTCATGGTCTCGGCTAGGTAGCTCAGGCCATACTTCCAAGCTCGCTCAATAGTGGTCCTGACAAACCAGCCCCTCAAGGCTGTACTCGTCAAGCCCAAGGCCTTGGGACGCCTGATGAAGTAGGCCATCAAGCTATTTGAGTTTGACATCCAATACAAGCCGAGGCCCACCATCAAGGCACAAGCTTTAGCAAATTTCATAATAGAGTGCACCTTCAGCCAAGCCTCTTGCCAAGCCCCAGAAGATGTTGAAGGGGACCGCCCGGCCAAGGAGGCTCATCCTAGATGGAGACTCTTTGTTGATGGCTCATCCAACACCAAGGGAAGTAGAGTGGACCTTATCCTCCTTACTACAAACATCGCCATTGAATATGCACTGAGGTTTGACTTTCTGGCATCTAACAATGAAGCCGAGTACGAGGCCCTCCTCGCTGGATTGCAGCTCACAAGAGACCTCAACTCCTTACACGTCGAAGCCTTTAGCAACTCTCAACTGGTGGTGAACCAGGTCAATAGCAAGTACAAGGCTAGAGAACAAAGCATGTCCAAGTACTTCACAAAGGTCTAAGATCTATCCCACCACTTCCACGAGCTGAGAACGCAAGAGCTGACGCCCTTTCTAAGTTGGCAAGTACTTCGAGTGGAGCCCTCATCTGGACCGTACGTGTGGAGACGTTACTTTGGCCCTCCATTGGAGAAGCCCAAGTGCTTCCAATAGAGGCAGAATTGTTATGGATGGACCCCATCACCAACTTCCTATCAACTAGACAATTGCCCGATGACAGGAATGAAGCAAGGCGACTCCGGCGTCAAGCAGCCCACTACACCTTGTTGGAGGGAAAGCTATATAGAAGATCCTTCACTTTTCCCTACCTTCGACGCCTCTATCTAGAGGAGGGTGAGTATGTGCTTTGAGAAATTCACGAAGGCATATGCGGCAACCACATTCGTAGAAGAGCCCTAGCCCAAAAAATTCTAAGGAAGGGATACTTTTGGCCACCCCTTCACAAGGATGCAGCCGAGCTGGTACAAAAATGTGACCAATGCCAGGGGCATGCCAATTTGTGCCATCATCCGGCCATTACCCTCTCGGCCCTTAGTAGTTCCTAGCCCTTCGCCAAGTGGGGGATGGGCCTTCTCGGCCCTTTCCCTCAAGCAACGGGGGGTAGGAAACACCTCGTCATTGTTGTGGACTACTTTACCAAGTGGGTAGAGGCTGAACCTCTGGCCACTATCACGGCCCGAGTAGTCCAAAACTTCTTTTGGAAGAACATTATTTGCTACGTTGACCTCCCCCACATGCTAGTCATCGACAATGGGAAGCAATTTGATGACGCCAAGTTCCAGGAATGGTGCGCCTCCCTCAGTATCAAACAACAATACACCTCGATAGACTAGCCTCAGACTAACGACCTAATCGAGGTCGCCAATAGAACAATCTCAGATGGACTGAAGACTTGGCTAGACCGAGCCAAAGGCTTATGGGCTGATGAACTAAATAGTGTACTTTGGGCATACCGAACCACATCTCGAACGACCACGGGGGTGACCCACTTCGGCCTGACCTACGATACAAAAGAAGTAATCCCAACAGAGATTGGCCAGCCAGCACTGAGTAGAAGCATACAGTGAAGTTGAGAATAGTGAAGACCTCTGAACAAACCTAGACCTATTGGAAAAAGCTCGAGAGCAAGCGCAGATTAGGGTAGCTACCTACCAGCAATGAGTGGCTTGCTACTACAACTCCAAGGTGAAAGAAAGGCATTACCGAGAGGGAGACCTCATCCTCAAAAAGGTCATGGTCCTCGAACCTAGAGTTGAAAAGTTAAGCCCCAACTGGAAAGGCCCCTACAGAATCAAACAAGTCATCGGTCCTAGCACTTTTTGCATAGAACACTTAGATGGAAGACTCGTCCCTCGGACGTGGAACTTGGAGAACCTCCGGATGTACTACAGATGAATGTAAATTTTTGATGAAGTAATGAATGAATGAAGCAAAGTTCCTCTTTGGCTTAATGGTTAGCAAGTGTTCCTATCAAATCTCTAAAACCCTTCGGCTTTGCGACTAGCCAAGGTGCGTGGCCTCTTCCGAAGACCACACCCTCTTGCTAGACTGTCACCAAGGCACCTAGCTAGTAGAAAACACCCTAAATAAACACCTCGCCGGAATAAACCAAGATGGCCGAGGCCTCACACACCTCATCGCCTACCTCGGTGGCAGCCAACCACTTAGTCTCTCACACTTAGCGCCATTGGCGAAAGACGACAACCTCAAACAACTCGGTAGTTTGCCTCGGCCCAAGACCCCAACCTTCTAAGAGTGTCACCTTGGCCTTGTTGAAGTAACCACTTAAAGAGATGGGAGCCAGGCGAGCCTCACCTCTACCTCGGCCCCTCCCTCAATTCAACAAGTCACCTCGGCCTTGTGCTTTTTAGTCTTTTTGCTTGGGGGGGGGGGGGGCAAGGCCCCCTCGGTAAAGAAAAGAAAAAGAAGAGGCAAGAAAAAAGAAAATACAGAAAGTACAAAAAATGCCTGATATTTCATTTCACTTCAAGCATTGACTTTACAAAAAGATTCACGGCCTCTGAGGATGAGCACATGTACATCAACTAAACAAACAAACAAAAAAAAAAAGAAAGCAAAAAGAACAGGCAAAAAATGAGCCCCACCTAAGCCTCGCTGCCAGCCAGGGGGAGGGCAGAGTCCGTAGCACCGTCAGCAACTGCCTCCTCGAGAGAATCTAGGATCACCTTTAGCGACTCAACGTCGAAGTCTGGCATCAACCCTTTGAGGACCTTCTTGGTGTCCTTGATCCTATCCAGATACAACCCAGATGCATAATTAGCGAGCTCCTCGGCCTTCTTCTTCACCTAGATTGCCCTCTTCAATGCCTCGATAACTTTTTTCTCTGCGTCATCCTTCTGCTTCGCTGCGTGATTAGCCTTTTTCTTTGTGTCAGCCGCTCGCTTCTCGGCCTTGGCGATGCTCCCCTCGGCTTTGGTCACCCATCGCTTGGTTGTAGAGATGACGCTCTCAAGGCGGACCCTTTTGTCCTACTCCTTGGAGAGCTTCTCCTGCACCTCCTATGACTGCACTTTGAAGTGCTCCCAAGCCATCTACTCATCCCTGATGCCCTTTTTGAACTTCTACACCTTCTCCTCAGCGGCGGTGGCGGCCTGTTGGAGCTTCTCCAGGTGGGATAGGGTCAGCTTCATTCGGTCCCCCAAACCGACGAAGTGGAGGCAGACCTACAACAAAAAATAAACAATCAGTGCTCTACAACAAGGAAATAACCACAAAGCAGTTAGCATGCCAAAGGAGAACAAGGATTACCTCAGCCAAGTTGTGCAACCCCTCATTGTAGACTACGCTCGGCTCGCTCTACGTCATGCGGAAGCAATCCCTTGAGAGAAGTGCCCCGCTCACCAAGGCCTGGCTGACCCCTCCCTCTAGTATTGAGGCCCCTTCAGTGATGGACCACCGGGGGCAGTAGACTTGATCAGACCCCTCGCTGTGGACCCTTGGATGGACAGGGGAGCGAACGAGGGACCTATTGGATGCTCCCCTAGAGTAGGCTTCTTCGTCGCATCCCCGGTTGGACGCTCGA